TAAGAAGCCTGTTTTCTGCATAAAAGAAGGAACTAGAGCAAAACATAGAGATTGGATATACACATCTGCATAATAGATCGTGCACTTAACTGAATATTATGCAAATCATCTCTTGTTTATGGTAGATTACTTCTGAATAAATATAGTTGCATTGTTGGCTTATTAGCCAGTTAATGCATACTTTCCTTGGAGTAACACAAACCAGCCCAGTAATTAATAGCATTTTCTTCTTTGTGGTTATATTTTCAAGCAGGTATGTTGGTGCCTGACAAACAGACATCAGCTTTCACTGAAGTAACAAAAATCCATCTGCAAAAGAGGCCTAAGGCCTATACAAGCAGGAAGTGTGGATTTATGCTCCTTTGTGTGTCTCTGGGTATTGATGGGTAGATACGTTTTAGTAGCTCTAGCAACTACTTAATGTGCACATTAAAGAACAGCTCAAGTCTTTTTGTTTGTTCCTCTGAATTCAGAGAAGTACTTAGGATTAGGTCTTAAAACAGTGGGAAATAAAGTTTAAATTAGCCTTGATACTGGGCAAATTAAATCATTATTTGTCTTGTTTTAAAATTAGTCCACTTTGACTCAAACCAAGTCATTTGTGCCTGCACAATAAATAACAATTCACCCTTTAAATGAACCTTTGTATACTGGGAAGTGTTCTGTTATTGTTTTTTTCTTCAGAAACCAATCAGGAATTCTTCTTTTAAAGAAGTGAGGCGAAAAAAAGCTTCCTAAAAACAGAAAACTGCTTTGTACATCACTGTTAAGCTTAAGTAAAACTTGAGAGAGCTCCTAAAACAGGATAGGCAGGAAGTTATTTGAGACAGTTGGAGTAATGTCCTCTATATAATTTATTGTAGATCAAGAAAGCTTTATAGTTACCTAGTTTCTGAACAAAAGCTAGGTTTACCTCATACAGCTGGCTAAAATGTGGATGGTAAATTTGTGTCTCTGGATTTTCACCTAACCATGTTTAATTGAATAAATCTTGTTATTTACACAACACACTGATCTATAAATGAATTGATTATATTTTAGATTAGCAAAAGTGAATTTGGGCATTTCAATAAACAATAGTACAGTTAGCCACAGGTTAGCATATTATGTGAGCACAGCCAAACCATGTTAAAGCACTTTTCCTTTCTGTTGCTTTGGTTGAGGAAAACCAGGAAAGGCTTTTTCTGCAAAATGATCTGATAATGGAGTATGATATTACGGTAATCACAAATACATGGTCTCAGACAGCCCTGCATTTTTATGTTTATTCTCATCTGCCAGATGCTTCATACTTGACTGTCAGTGATGAATCTATAAGCTTTTATAAATATAGAATGGTTTGGCCATGTACTGTTTCACTAAGTAAGCTTCCCATTAAAATTTAGAATATTAGGAAACCACTAAATTGTTTAATAGAGTAGATGTAAGTAATTTAAAATAAAGATGTAAGTAAGCGTTTTGATAAGCAAAGTGGAAATCTGTAGCAAAATCCCCCATTCCTAAGGTTCCTAGGGCTTATCCCACAGAGTATCATTTTCCAGTCCAGTGTCCTCCAGATGTGTTGGCATACACTTTCATAGTATCTACTATGTGCTTACACAGTGTTTTTCATCCTTGGCAATTTTAAGATGTGTGGCCTTCAACTCCCGTAGTTCCTCAGCCAGAAGGACAAACACCACACTAACCAAATTGCCTGTTGATGGACAAATCACTCCGTTTTCTGAACAAAATCCTCCTTTCAGCCAGTTTTTTTTTAAAATATAGATCAGCTTTCTTGCTCAGCCTTTTCAAAGTGTGGGAAAGCTCTCAGGATTTTCTGCTACAGCCCATACCGGCTGATGATGAATCTTGGGAGCTGAAGTCTTAAGATGGCTGTGATGATGTTAACCTGAATTTGCAAACTAACTCAAAGGAATTGACCTGACTTCCTAGCGAACCTTTTCAACAGCAGTAACGTGCAAAAATTGGCAGGTAAAGCTGGGAGAAAAGAGAGATCAACACTTGGTAAATGACAGCAAATGAAGCTGCTCTTAATGGTCTGGAACAACTATTGGGGAGATAAAGGGGAGGGGGAGGGAATGAAAGCGTAGCTCTGTTCCTCCAATGGCAGATTTCATGGTCTACTCTCCACCCAGGCTTCCTGTAATTAGCAGGACTTTCATGCTGCCTCTCAGCAGAGAGGAAGAAGAGGGGTTTGCAGAGCAAGCAAAAGTGCCCAGCCTGGTTGAAACCGTAGCTGGGAGGTTCTTATTTTGCAAAGACTGATTTTAGAGGTATAAATACGGTTTCCCCCTCCCATTAGGTGGAAATTTAGCTACTTGGAAGTGGCAGCTCTCTTGCCGGGCTCCCAGAACACACCAAACTAAAACCAGGTTTTATTTTTTGTTGATTTAGTCTGTTGGGTGAACCAGGAAATGTGGTTTGTAAAACAGTCTTATACTTTTAGAGCAGGGGTGGGGGGGGTGGGCAGTCTTTTTGTGGCTGGCGCTATAATGGGTTAGGTGAGAAGCACAGTAGCTGGAATCGGGATTGTGCTATACCTATTTAGTCTGTGTGTGTATTATTTACTTCCCACCTCGGAATGGGAGAGAACTATGATGTGTATTTCTGGTAACTGCAGTCAGAGGTGACTAATGGGGCTACTAAGAAGGGTTGTGGGGGGCTGTGAAAGTCTTGGGATCTCAAGGTTACCCATTCCTGATTTAATGTATTAGATGCAGTCATGTGTAAGGTGTGGGATTTTAAAAAAATGGAGGGGGGAAGCTTTCCTTCTGTTTTCCTTTATATTTTTGTTTTCTTTCTTAATGGATTATGAAATATAGCTTGATTATTTTTAAAAGAAATGCTCCCGTGTTGTTTCCTAATCGTTACCTCCAAATGATTTATGAAAACTATATAGTAAGACTTTTATGTAAGATTAATTACATTATCATATATAGTATACTAGAGTGTAACTCTGAAATACAAATGTAAGAGGCATTGACATTTATTTTTACAGCAGAAGGAAGGGCTCAGCCTATCTTTGATAATAGGCTTCCTTCCTCTTATTGATGTAGAGATTGCTGGATTGTGGCCTGTCCTTCACTAGTCCTCAAAACCTTGGGAATGGGGTAAACATTGGCAGTAGCATCCATTTATCTATACTTACAAATAATGCTAAACATAAGTATTTCATATTTTACATTTCTTTCTGCTCACCTCCCAAAAATGGAAAAGCTTTCTGAATTGTTTTCTGCAAGTTTTATTTTTTCAACATTTCTGGAAAGTTTACATCCTCAGTTTGCTAAGTGTGCATAATTGTAACTTATTTAGTAAACCAGGGTTAAGCAAGCCTTTATGTATAATGTGTGAATGTATCTTGTGCTTGCTTTATTATCCATTCTTTTTCTTAACTCTGTAATTTGCTTCTGAGTAGATATGAGTGAAGACAAAATGCATCTAGGTCTTTGATTATCAGAAGTTGTGGTCCCTGGACTAAAATATGGCCAGCTAATTTGGCTTAAAATGTATGAGGCCAGTCACTGTGGTTTACTTATCGATCATTGTATTGCTAAAACTAAGGTTTGGCTGATTAGTAATCATGGCTTAGCCAGAACTTCCCTTGATTACTCAAGGCTTTGTACTTCTCTTTAAGTTTGGGCATTAAACCACTGTTTAGCCATAATTTGTGGAATAAACGACAATAGGCTGGGTTCTCACTACATACTAAGCTATCTAGACTCAACTATATTTTGGTTTAGCACGTTGTATACAAACTCATGTTCATGAAGGAAGGATTACCTGCATAGGATGGGGACAGAGATGGGAGAGCCGTTTTGGACTCGCAGTTCCCTTGATAAGTTTGGGATGGAATTTGGATATTAGCAGAAAGGGAAGGTGCTTGAAAGAACAATTTCAGGAAATTTATGCCAGGCCAGGTAGAGAATTTGGGGAAAGAAATGGAGTTCAGCAGTCCAGATTTGATCTAGAACAGAATGATAGGATAGGCTGATAATAGTATCTTCTGTATGTGCCTAAATCTACCAGATTTGAAAACTAGCAAAGCAAAGAGCACACAAGGTTAATCTTTTTATATACCATCTTTTAAGTTTAGGGACTTAAAAAAACAGTAAGGGGGTCCACCTAATATGATATTTCTCCAAGTATAAACTTGTCCCGTTTATCACTTCAAGATGCTATTTTATTTATGCAATTGGCTTTAGAGCAAAATTCTGAGAACTAGACTTCGGGGTTTTCTAAAAAGAGAAGGAAAACATCAGCTCCGTGATATTTTGAGGAGTGGGGCACAAAATTTGTTCAGCCATGGGAGTTAATCCCTAATATTTACCAGTCTTTCTCCCACAGGCAGCTCATGGTTTTTCTTAGCACATTTTCAGTCAAGGAAGAGAGAGATGCCCCTTTGTGATCACCTGGAGGCTTTTCTCTTATCACTGTCAAGAAAGCAAGCAGCTGCTCATGCTAGTGACCGGAAGGCTTGCCAGCTTGATTCTCTGCCTAGCATGCAAAGCTTAACCTGCTTACTTTGGCATGGCCAGTGGCTTTTAAAAGCACTGAAAGCCTGCAGGGAGAAAGAAAAATACTGCAGATGTGAGGGATGGTGACCTAGATGTTATTTTGTGGGGGGGAGGAGGAGAAAAACAAACTACCGTTTTTTGTTGTGCTCAGTTCTCTTACTCAATTGTATAACAGCTAGATTTGTGCAGAACACAAAACATGGTTAATTCAGAGTCAAGTCTGCTAGGTAATCCTAGGAAAAAATGGGTTAAGTCCATGAACCGTGGTTCAGTTAACTATGGATAAACATGTCTCAGAAATACATACTGCAAACCTCTCCCCCAATTGGCTGAGTTTGCAAAAAGTGTTGAACCATATAGCAGCCCGTTAACACAGCATGTTGATTAAGCCATAGGGATCTGTATAGATTTTCTCTCAAGCTTCCTAGCATGGAGGAAGGTGAGCATGGTTCCTCCTACTAGCCATATATTTTCTTACCTTTATAGGAAAGGAACCGGCTGGAGAGTAGGTCAACAGCAAGTGCCCAGGGGCCTCTAGGTAAGTGTAAGATTGATCTGCTTTCTTCAGAAGGCCCCAGGGCCTCCCAGCTAAAGCTGCTCTGCTGAATAGCTTAGACTAGAAATAACAGCGGCTTGTTGATGCTTAAGATGTCCTTCCTGTTCCAGTTTTGTATATGTACTCAAGGTATGGCTTTCGGTTGAGATTCCTTTCATTTTCATCCTTAGTTTGGTTTGGTTTTCCAATTGAGGAAACGAGACATTTGAGAGGTGCAAGCAACTACAGGTAGACCTCAACTTACAACAGTCCATTTAGTGACTGTTCAAAGTTACAGCGGCACTGGAAAAAGTGACTTATGACCATGCTTTTGACTGTTGCAGCCTCCCCAGGGTCACGTGGTTTACATTCGAATGCTTGACGACTGGTTCATATTTATGACGGCTGCAGGGCCCCGGTGTCATCTTGTGAGACCTTCTGACAAGCAAAGTCAATGGGGAAGCCAGATTCATTTAAGAACTGTGTTACTAACTTAATATCTGAAGGGATTCATTTAACAGATGTGGCAAGAAAAGTTGTAAAATTGGGCAAAACTCACTTAACAAATGTCTTACTTAACAACGTACATTCTGGGCTCATTTGTGGCCGTAAGTGGAGGACTACCTGTTCTCCATTTGGCCTTTTGCGGGGCCATTTCTAAAGCCCAAGTGAGATTTATTGAGGAATGCAGCCTGGGGGATGTTAGGGAGGCCAACGGCAGAGCCTCTTTTCCACTCGGGGCCTGTTTGGATCCGATGGCTTAAAGAGACACAAGAAAGGAAAGGGACAGTCTCATTTTAAGGGCTCAAAAGTGGCCACTAGGACTGAAACGGGGGATGGGGCGGCTCTTTTTCTTCCTTGTGTTTGTACTTCTGAAAAGCATTGCCTCACATTCCGAAACCTCAGGATAGGCGATGTTGAGAAAAAAAACCAATGCATTGTTTTAAAGCATGGATGTCCAATTCTGGTAACTTTATGACTACTGGACTTCAATTTCCCAGCCAGCATGGAGAATTCTGGGAATTGAAGTCCACAGGTCTTTAAAAGTTGCCATAGTTGAACAAACATGGTTTGACAAAAGTGAGCAGTTGAAAATTGCAATGTTGTTTAAATCCTTTCCAAATCCCTCCTACTTAGATATGCCCTTCTTCGGCCTTTCCCGTTCAGGCTCTTATCTCTGAAGGAGAGAAAAATGCTTTCAGCACCTCTGGGGAAAAAACCCTCTCTGTTTTTCCTACCCTCTCTTCTTCTTTTCTTTGCAGACATTGGAGGAGGAGAGCCTACAATTTCAGGAGGAGCCTGGTAGCTTCTTTTTTGACTGGCACATTTCATTCAAAGGCATAAGCTTTTGTGAGCTTTTAATAACATTCATTCTGAAAACTTGCTACCAAGCTCTTCCTGATATTTCTCTTTCTCTCTCTCTCTCTCTCTCTCTCTCTCTCTCTCTCTCTCCCCCTCCCTCCCTCCCTCCCTCTCTCTCTCTCTCTCTCTCACACACACACACACACCTTTTCTTTGCAAACCTTTCTATTATTCAGGTAGATGTTATGGATTTTATTTGGGGGCGGGGAGGGAAGTTCTATATCTTTAATTGGCAAAACCCCATGGAGAAAAGATTTTCCGGACATGGAAAGGAAAAGTACAGGTAATCCTTGACTTACAACCACAAGTGAGCCCCAATTTTTGTTGCTAAGTGAGACTCATGTTAAGTGAGTTTTGCCACATTCTACGACATTACTTGCCACAGTTGTTAAACGAACCATTGCAGTTAAGTTAGTAAGATGGATAATAAGTGAATGTGGCTTCCCCATTGACTTTGCTTGTCAGACGTTCACAAAAGTTTGATCACATGACCCCAGGACACACTTCAAGCATCACAAATAGGAGTCAGTTGCCAAGCATTTGAATTTTGATCACATGACCATGGAGGTGCTGCAACGGTCGTGTGAAAAACAATCACAAGTCATTATTTTCAGTACCATTATAACTTTGAACGGTTACTGAATGAACTGTTGAAAATTGAAGACTATACCTCATCCCTGATTTTCTACTTTATGCTGCTGTTTCAGAGTAGATTTTGGGGTATGGGGGAATGTAGAAGGAAAATAGCCTTAGGACACCTGGTTTTTCTTTGCCTTATTTTTTGTAATTTTTTTTCTGCTTGTTCTCCTTAAAAGCGTCAAGGCTCTATAAAGTATGAAGAGAGCCCCCCTATAGTGAAGGAAACATGGCAGATAAGAGGAAGCTACAAGGTAAGCTCCGTGGCTGGGCTAGGAGCCTGGTTGTGTAGCAGAAGAGCAGAGGGGTCTGTTCACTTAGACTGGCGCAGAAGAAAGAGACGGGCATAAATTTAGCAAAAGGCAAACAGGATTCTTTCTTTGAATGCCTGGCACAGGATGCTATATTTTCCAAACAAGTATGGGATGCGATTAGGGAAGTACGAAAAGAGTTAGGTTTTCTGTTGGTGTAGGAAATCACTAAAATGGGGGCAAAGGTGTTCGAATTTGGGAAGAAGGAGAAACAGGCAGCGTTTCCAAATTCCGATTGTCTTTCTCTTCCCCTTTTAGGCTTCAGGGAAGGTATGAACCTTTTAGTTCCTGTGATTGCTTTCAACTAATTTATCCCTCCCCTCCCCCTTTTGCAGGTGAGATCGATCGGTGTCTCAAAAAGGTATCGGAAGGTGTGGAGCAGTTTGAAGATATCTGGCAGAAGGTGAGGGCTGCTGTTGTCTCTCTGCCTGGGTTCTGTCCAATCTCCTTATTATCACCCCACGTAGTTCCTCATCCTAATTTTATTTTGGGGGACAGAGGATCAGGGAGAGGAGAGGAGGTTTCCATTTGGCTCCCGCTTTTCCTCCTTTATCCAGTTTGATTTTGCCCTCCACTTCTTCCATGACACTGTCAACTCCAGCCTTCATCACATCTTGGGATTTCCCCCCCCCTCCCCTCTCTGCTACAGCTCCATAATGCAGCGAATGCCAATCAGAAGGAGAAATATGAAGCCGATCTGAAAAAGGAGATTAAGAAGCTCCAGGTAAGAATGAGCCAAGCTTCAGTATTCTTTGACAACCCAATCTCAGGAGATTAGTTATGGGGAATAGACTTAAATCCAGGGAAAGGCAGATGGGAAATGTCGTCCCCAAAAGGCTTTTGTTGGATAAGAAGAGGGGATGAGCAGTTTATGAAGTTGCAATGCAGTGTTTGCATTCCTCTGCCGGAGACTGAACCAGAATTCCTCTGTGTATCAAAGGGTCTTGTGAAGCTCCAAGGAAATCAGGGAATCCAGGCAGTTCAAATGGGTATAAATATTTATTGCAAGCTTAAGTGATGCCTGCAAGAATCTGAACTACAGGAGATAAGAGTCATAGGAATTCAAGGTGGGCTGGACATAGATCGTTTGTGGACAGGAAGGGATTCATGACCGATGACATGCTTGACCCCTCCCTCGGGCTTAGCCCGGTAATCTATAGGTTTAGATCTCTGATGGCAAACATATGGCACGCGTGCCAGAGATGGCACATAGAGCCCTCTCGGGGGGGCACATGCACCGTTGCCAGCTGACATTCTGGATTCCGTCGCACGCATATGCACCAGATAGTCCTGCATGCATGCACATTGGCAAGTTGCTCTCTTCTGGGTTCTGGTGTGTGCATGTGTGCCGGCCAGCTGGTCTTCGAGACCAGCTGATGTGCCAGAACCCAGAAGAGAGGAGCTGGCTGTCGCGTGCACACACACCAACCAGCTGCTCTCTTCTGGGTTCCGGCACAATCATGCACTTGCAAGCACAAGTGCTCCAGTTTTGGCACTCAGTGCCGAAAAGGTTAACCATCACTGTTCTAGCAAGCAATGTTGAGTTGCTGATGGCTTGACTTGTAACAGACGAAAGTGAAATCCGATAGTTACAGGTAGTCCTTGACTTACAACCATTCATTTACTGACTATTTGAAGTTACAACAGCACTGAAAAAGGTGGTTTAGGACGGGTCCTTGTTGCAGCATTCACATGATCATGAAAATTTGGACTCTTGGCAGCCAACATGTATTTATGATGGTTGCAGTGTCCAGGGTCACATGATTGCTATTTGCAATCCTCCCAGTCAACTTCCAATAGACCAAATCAATGGGGGGGGGGGGAGCTGGATTCACTTAACAACCATGTGATTCACTTGCAGTGATTTGCTTAACCACGCACAAAAGATTGCAAAATTGAGTATGACTCATTTAACTGCCTCGCTTAGTTGTTAGTTAAAATTTCTCTCCCAGTTGTGGTCATAAGGTTAACCACAAGTAGTCCTCGACTTATCACAATTCATTTAATGACTGTTCTAAGTTACAACAGCACTGAAAAAAGAGATTTGTGGCTGTTGCAGCATCCCTATGGTGACATGATCAAAATTCAGACGCTTGGCAACTGGCTCATCTTTACGACGTTTGCACTGTCCTGATGTCATGTGATCACCTTTTGCAACCTTCTGGCAAGCAAAGTCAGTGGGGAAGCCAGGTTCACTTCACAACCGTGCTAGTAACTTGACAACTGTAATGATTCACTTAAAAACTGTGGCAAGAAAGGTTGTAGAATGGGGCAAAATTCAATTAACAAGTATCTCGCTTAGCAACATAAATTGTGGGGTCAATTGTAAATCGAGGACTGTCTGTACCTGTATAGCAGAGGGGTACAGAAATGAGCCCATACTCATCCTTTATGTTTGATCATTTCTGTACTCACAGGCTTTCCCTAACCTGAAGACACACAGAAGGGTTGAATTTTGTATAATTACTAACCACCATGATCATTGACTGGCTGTGGATTATGGAATTTGAATTTGATATGTCTAGAAGGCACTAAGTTGGTAAAGACTATTCTAAAAAGTTTCACTGTTATGGGTGTTACTCTAGGATTAGTCTCTGCTGGAAAGATCTAGTGATAAAGGGAACAGAATTTGATCATGGAACTACTTTTCTCTTTCTGCAGAGATTGAGGGACCAGATCAAGACATGGGTTGCATCCAATGAGATTAAAGACAAAAGGCAGCTAATAGACAACCGGAAACTCATTGAGACGGTAAAAATTCAAACTGAGAGAAAAGAATCTACTAGCTATTATGTGTCAGTGCTGAGCAAAAATTCAGGTGAAATGGATGTTTTTCAAGGAAACTCTGTGGTTTTGGAGAACTAAATGAACCAGGTTTAATTTTGTCCAGTCATAGGTTTAATTCTTGCCAGCTTTTGCATTTAAGTCTTCTTGATATTTTTATGCTTAGCTCCTCTTTAACAGTGTTGCCATTGGCTGCTAGCAGTGTGACCTCATAAAGGTGAGCCATCTGGCCATCTCACTTATTACTTAAGCGGAGTAAGTGATAGAAAAGGGGTTCTGTGGGGAGCCCAGGACCTTTTTCCACACAACCTTCCTTAGAGTGACAACATGGGATAGACGGTAAGACCTTCTTAGTTTAAGGGTTTAATTGGTAGTGCTTGTGGAAGGTTTTCTAAACTTTGAGAGTGGAGACTTCGAAATAAGAGACTTTGCAAGGATCAAGCTGTATCTTGTATTTCCTAGGCAACCTGAATCAGTAGACATTTTATACATTTTCTTTTTTTTCCTGGGGTTCTTACAAATCTCCCTGTTGTATTTTTCTAGTGTCAAATCTAAGCATTGTAATTAAAAAGGAGTGATGGTGCTCATCAGTATCTGTTTGTGGGGACAAATATGCATTTTTAAGAGCCACGGTGGTGCAGTGGTTAGAGTGCAGTACTGCAGGCTACTTCTGTTGACTGCCAGCTGCCAGAAGTTTGGCAGTTTGAATCTCACCAGCGGAAGGTTGATTCAGCCTTCCATCCTTCCAGGTCGATAAAATGTTGCCCCAGATTGTTGGGGGGCAATATGCTGACTCTGTAAACTGCTTAGAGAAGGCTGGAAAGTACTATGAAGCGGTATATAAGTCTAAGTGCTATTCTATTTGCTGCATCGTTCATGATTCGGGATTGTTCTTCTCTATGTTATATGGCTCCAGTGGTGGGTTGCCAATTTTTTTACTACTGGTTTGGGCATGCTCCTACCCGTGCAATGCTTCTGCGCATGTGCAGAAGTGGGTGGGCAGAGCATCCCGCCGACACTACTATCGGTTTGCCCAATCCGGGCCGAACCAGGAGCAGCCCATCTCTGCATGGGTCCATGTGACACTGCTTTGGGTATTTGTGGACAATATCTACTTGTTACTAACTTTGTGACTGAAAATGTCTTTTTGTGCCTCACTTATGTATATATAGCCATCAGTGTCAGTATTATGTAGAAGCAATTAAATATTAAAATACTGATTTTAAAAAGCATTTGAATTGACAACCCGCGTTCCTGTTGGGGAACCATTTTAGATATATTTCCTTTCCTAAATGGAGAAGCAGAAAGATAACGAGCAAGAAAAAAAAAACTATAAGAGCAGGAGTGACCTCTGACTTCCTGCTGATTTTCTCGTTGAATTTCTTTGTGGGAATTTGGTGGGGAGCATCAGAAATCTTCCTTTTTTCTCTCCCTTTCCTACTGCTCCCGGGCGGGAGAAAGAGCAAGGGATTGCAAGACTGGTTGGGAAACTGTCGTGAAATATAAAAAAATATAGATCATTTGAGTGCAGCAGCAGCCAATAGCACTGAAGCAGCTACAGTTTCCCAAATGTCAAGGTCCTGGGCCCCAGATTTTGGATACATTCTATAAATTAGCCCATTTGAGGTACTTAATTGTTGCCATATGATGCATCATTTTTGCCCAATTAGAGGGCATGACCTTGAGTAGCAGCTAGATGGGCGTGGCAAAACCATTCTTTTGATACTTTCAGCTAGGAAAAAAATCAGTCCCACTATAGTAGTAGCACCATGTTAATGAGATTCACTAGTTTGGGCTGGCCTGCTTATTTGAATAAGTCAACATTGTAGACCAAACAAGCTTATGAATTTTGCTAAGGAAGTTACCACAACAGTTCAGGAGCCAGGATTTCTGTATAGGAAGAAATAGAGTGAGTCCCTATTCTGAATTCAAGGATAGGCAGTAGAATTTATCTCTGGACAATCCAGCAGGATTCCCTTCTGGGTTTTTTGGAGCCAACTTTCATCACTTCCAAGCAATATCAGGTTAAGGTTGGTTTTGAAACTTAACCTACAAGGGGTAATCAAATAGATCAAATTAAGATGCAGATAAAAGCCATTTTAAATGGTCTGAGATCTCCCTCTTCTTTTAATCTGCTCTGTAATCGTTCTAATTGCTGCTTCTGCTTCTCCTAAGCTGGTTAGGAATTTCTCCAACTGATGGGAGACTGCAGAAATCCGCATCCAATTAATCCTGTGTCCCTCCCCACAACCCAACATTTCTTCCCACCTGTTCAGTGATTTTCAAGCAACCAGACTGGTCACCATGAGGGGAGAAGCTGTTCAGTTGTAAAAGAGAAAATGAAAGGATAGCTTAATAGTCATCTTGGTGGCTTAAATTTTCCCGTGGATGTAGAATTTATGGGAGATGCAATGAGATGCAACCACCACCTCAGACTCAAGAATTCATTCTGCAGATTCATTCATTCTGTCTTTGTGGTGACTTTGCTTATCCTGAAACAGAGCCAGAAGTTAGTTGCAATAGAAGAAAATATCTGTCGGTCAGGGTTGAACTGTGGGGTCCTTGGTGCTCTCTGAGCTTGGTTGATTGCTTGTTTACAAATGTTTCAGTACCCA